TCCTCGTATGAAAGTTTTGGTTTTTCAGTATTTATGACAAACACATTAACAAATATATCTTCTATTACAATTTTCTTATTAGTAGTGTCATCTGTAGTTGTGGAACCAGGGGTAGCATTGTCATTAGACTGAGTTACTGGTAGGTGACAAAGAGCAGGCTGATTAGATTAAGGTTCACCTACAGGTTTCTTATTGATAATAACTTCTGATACATAACCTCTACTAACATATAGCCTTCTCGATTCACTGCTGTTTTCCATATACAAACACGTTTCTATGCTATTGCTGCATTGTTGTAAGCAAATGAGCATGTGACAACTCCCCACAAACAGGAGTACAACACATTCTTCTAGTGCAGCTGATTTCCTCTATACTAATTGTTCAGTCATCAAAGATGTTTTTTTTTTCTTGTGAGATTTTGTGATACTGGCATTTGTTGTGAAAGTATCTACAAAAATGTCAAATGTTGTGGAAATATTAAATTTGGATTTTAGTTTTTAAACATTACTACACCTGCAGATTTTGTGGCCTTTAATTTCTACATTATGAAGTCACAAGTGACAGTAATATCCACTGTGTCTGATGTAGGACAACAAGATGTTCATGATAGACAAACAACTAAAATGGCATCAGATTCCTCTTTTTTTGTTGACAGCAATTGTGCAATGGGAATTGCAGTATTTCATGCAGCCTAGACCTTCTTCTTAACCTAATATATTTCTTCGTATAATCCTGTTTGTTATCAAGGGGGTTTGGCCAGTCTTTTCCCATGTCCTATCTTTACCATATCTTCTACCAATTTTTTGTGGATCTACCTAGGCTCTTTTCATAATTCTTCAACATATTTTCTTAGATATGTTACCTTTCTCTTGCTCCTGTTATTTTCTAGTGATGCCTGTCTCATCCTTTTTCCTGGTTGCTATATATGCCTTGGCTTAACATTGGGCTGTATTCCCTTTCTTGGAGACCCAAACTGTGGAGTCTCTTCTTCAGGCTTTAGGATAAGATCCTCTAACTTCTATTCAACTTTCTCAGGTCCATATTTCATACGTTGATATTACCCTTACCCTATGCTCTTACCTTGAGCATCGTGTTTCTCATTAAAAACAAGCTGCTTCTACATTGCTGACTGAAAGTTACCTGGAGCATTTTCCAGTTCAATTTTCTTGGTCCATTTTGCAGTAGTTTTATCTGCATGGTTGACCATTGTTATGATTCTCATTTGAAAGTGAGACAACAAAGGTATTCAGAATAGTGCAAGAAATCATGGAAAACAACATGGATTTAGGTTTTGGTCTGCTGTGAACATGTTTTTGAAGCTAAAAACAGTAATTTTATATATATATATATATTACTTTTCTATCGAATTGATATATTGTGCTATTGAATTGTGAATCGTACCATAGAAAAATACTATGACATACAACACGAGTTAATTGTTTCACTCCAAGTATTTAGATTAGACATCTTGAACAATTTGTAAAAAATCTGCTGGGCTTTATCATTTGGGGCTTTGTGTTGTTTTTCTCATAAAATTTTAAATTAATTGTGTAGCATATTAAAGTTTTGTATAAACTAAGAAAATCAATAATTTCTTTATTCTGATGATTTTTCCAACATTTCAAACTACAGTGGATTTATTTCATAGCTACATCAAATCCAAACTATGTTAGCAAAAGGGAGTTCTAATAAATTTGCATGCTGCTATCCAAGGTGTAGCAATTACATGAAAAGCACATGATTGATGTTATCAAGGCTCAAAATGTAATTTTGTACAGCATACATTTTGATGACAGTTTCAGTTTATGTGGAAACTTTCATTTCTCCTAAAATTCATCAATTATCATACCTCTTTTGTGGTTTCACTTGACAAAAAATGATCAATTTGATTAGTCATTCAAATTGAGGTTAACAAGCAATTATAAGAGACTAACCACTTCAATCCATTCATCAGTTGGAATCAGATTGTTGTTAGCAGAATTGTTTGAATTACAAAGGCACCTATTGTCTAGAACATTATCAGGGCTTCTTAATTTTAAATCATGATGCTCTATAACATTATATGATTATAGAGGGTGTAACCACCTTCCATCCTCCATGTAGGTAATCTACAGCATCCTTCATGTTTATCATAGAAATTCCCAATATCGTGATGTTGAAGGTAATCAACCAGTCGACAAAGTAAATGTCTGCAACAGTATTCCATAGAATTTTAAATTACTCCCATATCTATGGGCTGTATTTTACCTGTGTTTTCTGGTAAATATTTTACTCGTTCATTGTGTAGGTATCAATCGATGAGTACTAACTTGTGAGTTAACTTGAACAAGTTAAAATTGATATAGGCTACCAGTTGTGTGTGATGTGAGTGTATTGTGATTTATTTTTGAATTGTTATGTAGAATAACAGTGTATTATAATTGGTCTGTATATGTTGATATATAAATTATATACATACATACACTGAGCTCTCATTAGTCTGGATGATATTACATATATACAGATCTTCACAACAGGAAATTTAATCAATAATCCATATATTCACATTCCAAATCTGAACTGCTATTTGTTATAACAAACATGCATTTTCTGTACATACATTATTCAGTAATCTGTAAATGACTCCATGGGAATCAAGTAGGATCAATCAGAATATGAAACAAGGTAATAGTTACTGATCACAGAACATTTGCACTAACTAGTGGGTATTATCTTACATTTTTTCTGAGAATTACTTCATAGTAAGGATGTACATATAAACTATAATAAATATTCAAAGTTCATCAGAGTGATTTATGCTACATTCATGTCAAGTCATTGTGCACCAAAAATAAAGACACATTGAAATATCAGTATCATCAAAACATATTATTTGTTTATACAAGAAAGCAAATTCTAGTACAAACCTTAACACCATCAGTAGACATTTTAGTATAGTAAGGAATGTTCTCATGAGAAAATCAATAATATCTGACCTTCCCTGCTACAAATAAAAGTGGCTAAATATTCCAGAAGATTCAGGTCAACAAACAAGGACAAGATATTCAAAGCATGCAAACATGTAGTAAGCTCTGTATCTTTGGGCATGTGATGTTAATGACGAAATGCTTATTGAGAAAGCAAGTCAACTTGGACAGTAGATTGGTGTAACAAAGTTTGAATCCTCCAGAGGATGGCTGCAAAGTGTCAAAGGATGTTTTTAATAAAGAAGACGAAGTTGGAAGGTGAAGCAGTAAGTTCTGACCAAAACATAATTGCTGCAGGTAGTTATGATGCTATGTTAGCTGATTAGTTACTCATCATCGACTCAACAGAATCAACTGGTCAAGAGTTTAGAGGAAGACACAATTTCCAACGTATCTGTTCAAGAGTGTGTGAAGACAGTGAATTCTGACATCAAAAGTGATGCACCAGTCAAGTCAAAAAGTCTGAATAAAGCATAATCTAGCCTTAAAGGCATCTTCACATGATTAGAAAAAATAAGCATTGATTTTGTGAAGATTATGATGTAATGTGTTATTTGCTTAGCTACTGAGAAGCTTCAGAAGAAGAATTCAATTCAAAAGCACACTTTGATTGCATTCTTCTTTTTAGAAATTGACTTGTAATTTTGACCAATACTGTGTATTTTGTATTCTTTATGTAAGGTTTTGGTTTTAAAACATTGATGTTTTATGCGAAGAAGATGAAATGCCACTTTGATTAAGAAGATTGTATAATTATTGAAGATGTTTGAAATAATAGACTGATAAGCTTATTGTATTTTGAGCTGCTTTTTGTGTACCAGTTACTTACCTACCTTTACTAGTTTGCATCCTTACATTTATTGATTGATAATTCATACTATTAATAGTGTCCATTGTATTCAAAATGATTGATTTGACTATCCAGATGTCTCAGTAATTCATACAAATTGGTTCATTACAAATTCTTTCAGATTAACAAGGTTTCACTGCATATGTATATTAATATTGTACAGATATTAAAAATAACCAGTCCCAACATATTTCAAGTACTTAACAGAATTAGAGCTTAACAAGTAGTGGAATCTGGTTATTGACTAATCTTTTATGATGAACAACCTTGAATTAATGGAAAGTAATGATTCATAATGTTTTCATTGCTGATTTATTAATGCAATTTTATCATGGCTACTAAGTCTTATGGGTCCTGTTGATTCTGACTCAGCTGTTCCTGTCTTGGTCTCTTTTGTTTGGTGGCAGTCAGAAATAGTTGTGTGAATAATAAGTTTTGTTACATTATCATGTGTTAATTTTTTGTACACCACATAGTCAATTTTTTAGTCATGTTAATTGTTCCATAATTTTAGCTCATGTATAACTTAGTTTTCATTTGTTCATTTTCCTCAGGAGTGCCTTTGGACAAGATTTCATCCTTTTTCCCTACCTTTCTGAGAATGTTTATTTTGGTTCTCTCTTCTGCTGTTAAACACTTCTGGTATTTGGAAACCCTTTTTAAAAGAATATTTCTTTCCCCCAAGAAAATTTATTTTCACTTGTTAATTTTTATTGTTATATTTTTCCCTACAGTGGCTAATAAACTGGTATTAAGCAAAATTTCGATCTGCGAAGGTGTATATTAAAATATGGTAGGAATATGTTACACATGTTTCATACACAAACTCATGGTGGGACAGCTCAATGTGAAATATTATCAGACATTTTTTTTTTGTCTTTGACCGATTGCTTTCTGGAGTGTCACCTTTCTTAGGTTTATTTACTTGTTACCAGTATGTTATAACTCAGGCCTTGTAGTAGGTGGATTACAAATAACTGTAAATGCCTTCTTTTTTTTTCTAGATATTTCATACTTGATTGAGTCTACTTATCAGCTTGCTTTATTGAAGGCTTTTACTCCACTTTTAAATGAAGCTTTTTTAGGGTACACTTTTAACTTTATTCTTATTTTTTATATCTGGCACTCCTGCTTCATTCCAGGATCATATTCAGTTTCTCTTTTGGTTGATTTTGTCTTTGCAGTTTTTAGGATGAGGAGAGTTTGACTTGTTTGTCCACTTCCACTTCTATCCAGAGGTCCTCTATTATAGTTGGTATAAATGGAATTAATTTACCACAAGAAAGCAGATAGACATTTACTGTTAGTGGTGAGTATTTTAAACTTAAGTTTGTTCGAAAATGAGGTGTTAACAAAATACGTCATAGGAAATTTAAAGTATTATCTTACTCTGTCCATTGAGGCGTTTGCTTAAATTTTTATACCAAAGTTTAATATTTTTATTATTTAAGTCTCTTAAAACTAGCGTAAAATTCAAAAGCTTGTAATTTATTTGGGGGAAAGAGGTAATTATTTACAAATAATAATTGGTTAATTATCTATGAGAGATTAGATTTTTTGTATCAGCATGTTTGTACATCTAGTTCCAAGGAAAGTAGCGTTTGAGAAAATAAACACGATGAACTTTAATTACTTAGTTATTGGAAATACCAAAGATATATCAGTAGGTGTGTAAAATCTGTGATTAATGACTTATACTGGATTTAATATGACTAAAACATCTTGGAAGAAACAAGCATATAATCACACTTATCAGTGATTTACCTTATGGAAAAGAACTAAGTAAGTGTTATAGATGAAGCACTGATTTACTAGCTCTGCACATTTGCTAGATAAACATAAATATCTTATTATGTAAAACATTAAACATCATGCCTGTATCTATAGAATATTTATAAAATATTTATAGAATGTTTATAAAATAATGCATTAATTGATAGATTTTTGACTGAATGCATGATATTCTACTGGTTTTCTTTAATTAGTTAAATATATGTAATGTTTGATAACTTTATTATGACATTAACCAAAAAAGAATATTACTTTTGTTGCATTTATGTCTTTAAAATAGCAAGATCATTTGGCCTATCCAACATGCAAAGTAATTTTTACTTAAGATTAAAATTACTTTTGTGCATCAGAAAATTTTCAGATTTCACATGCAAAATCTTTATAATGTCCAGATAGTTATCAAATGTT